GATGAGGTGTCAATATAGCCCAAGGTGCCGGGCCTACCGGTGCATAATCTAGCTTACCGCGTTTGTTGACCTCAGACCTTAGACTCGTAGCGGCAATTTCGTTCTCTCTCTCATTTTTAACTTCCTCTTTGCGTCCCCTTCGGGCTAAATCCCTTGCCTCCTTAGTCTGATTCCTTCGAGGGGCTTGATTTTCTTCTGCGTTCTGAGCCGCCTTCCTCTCCTCGTTCCGTCTTTTTCTCTTCCTCTTCCTGGCTGTGTCACTTCCCTCGCTGTCATCTTCATTTTGCCTTTTTAGGGGTTTCCCTACTTCCGCTAGGAAATCGCCCTTCTGTTTCTCAAACTTTTTACCGTAAGCTCGCTTCCGTCTGAGGACCTCTAAACAGCGCCTATCTTTCTTATCTAGCAGCTGCACACAGATTCTATCCGGGTATCGTCTGTCTCCGTGTATTACGCCCTCTAGCTGAGCACGCTGGTCGAATTTGATACGAATGTTTGCAAGTTCTATATAGTCCCCTTCGTTGATAGTGCTCTGAGCAAATGTAGAATGCGGTGGCCATAAAGTCACCCGAAGGGTCAGCTTTCCGTAAGGTCCAGGCCAGGATTGATTTGTTCTCCGCCCAACATACCCATATTCGTCGCCTGGCCCACCATAATCATCCGAAGAGGGTGGCGGGCTCCACTCGTAATTAAACAGATTCTCATTCGGTGTATAGTCGCTCACGTAAACTTCGAATCCCCCACCGTTACTTGGGAACGTCTTCACCACTTGCCCAACTACGTCATAGAACTTGGAGTTTTGAACGTCTTTGATGAGGGAGAACTTGTGACTCCCAAGTGCCTTTGATTGTTGCAATGTTGAGCCGTCGCTTTTTGGAGTTGGTTGATAGATAGGAGGAATACTTTGGGACAAATTTGGGACAATTGCCTCTTTTTCCCGATGGTGGATTAAGGCATTGGCCAGCGTTATGCTGTAAATAACCTCTGGAGCATCTAGATGAGGGATGGTACCTATTTTGGGAATTCGCGATAATGCGTTGCCCGGCGGTGGAGGCTTTGCCGGGACAGAATGACCGTTTATAACAGCCCACGTAGAGGAGTGATTTGATAACAATGTACGTAATCCATTCCACGGTTTTATCTAACAAGGCTAAGTGAACTGCACAACTGTATATGGTACGCCTAGGGTGTGTAACATACCTGCACTTGGCGGAGGATTACTACATCACCATTCCCGCGGATTTGTGGTAGCTCCCCTATAGTCTTCCTGAAGAACTTGACCAACTGGCCAGTGCTGGAAGAGAGGTCACATAAAGTGAAGGTGCATTGGCAATCTGGTTGAATGCTATTAGGTTTGCTGGAATAAATAGGGAGCATGACCGAGTAGGTGGAGTAATGAAAACATACCTTTGCCCCTCGTACTACCTGGCGGGAGGAAGTCGGTCACAACCCCTATAACATTGAGGTCTTTGTTTAATATCGTGTTGGCAGCGTCGAGCGCGGTGAACCCTCTAGGAGGAACTGAATCTGTAGCCATTGTTGTAGACTTGGCTCTACACGCGACCTAGAGTATCTCTTTTGTTACTGCGGGTTGTTTACATGTACGAATCAAAATGCTTAATGGGAGACGCGTCAAGGCACACTACTCGACGCGCTTCGCGTCATCACATGCCCGACATTCTGGGTCTATAGTGCACAAACCGCAGCTTTCCCCAATATAGATGAAGTCCTTGATGCGTAATCAAAGCAAAGCTATCTAGAGACGAGGCGTTAAGCTAGGCAAAATTCAATTTGATATGCCATAGCTCAGAGGGATTTGTGATATCACGTGCGGCCAACTGCGTCAACCTTCCACTTCAAATGATTGTTCCGGATCTCGATCTTCAACCTTTCACTTCCCACCTCTCAACCTCATTCGTCCTACAGTGTCAACAACGTCGTTATTGAGGTTGTCACGGTATTTTTTGCTCACAAATATCATATCCTAAATTAGTCGCGGTCACTCTTCAGAAAAATCGAAAATGGCGGAGCGCTTTATCCCAGAACATCGTCGCACTCAATACAAGGCGAAGAACACTTTCAAACCTGACGAGCTCCGTCGCCGTCGCGAAGAACAGCAGGTTGAGATTCGCAAGGCCAAACGCGAAGAGAATCTTGCAAAGCGAAGAGGTATCACCACTCGTGATGGCAATGTTGGTGTAGGTGCTCCCGGAGTGTCGCTGGGTGCTTCTCCGGATAGTGATGAAGAGACTGGAAACATCGAAAGCCAGGTTAGTCTGTCTTTCCTATTCTCCATTCTACAGATGCAGTTCTTTCTCCTTTAAATATCGCATTGGAATATTTTGTGGAGCCTGCTGCGTCGCTTTTATCTTCCGTCACTTTGACCTGCGAGGGGTTTGTTATTCGCCGGGTTCGCTTCCCTTGTTTTTGTTTTCGGTTGGCACGAATGTGTCCCCAAGTCAATGTACCATGATCCCCTCGCTGGCCAAAGCTCTCGAATTTCGGCTTCGTCATGACATTTGACTCTACCGGCTCGTCCAAAGGTATCTATGCTAAGCAGTTTGATGTCATCTAGCTCAATGAGGAACTCCCCTTAATGGTCAAGGGAGTGTTCTCTGATCAGATCGATGCACAAATCCAAGCTACCACAAAATTCCGCAAACTTCTTTCCAAGGAGCGCAACCCCCCTATCGAGAGAGTCATCGAGACTGGAGTTGTTAGTCGTTTTGTTGAATTTCTTCGTTCTCCCCACACTTTGGTGCAGTTCGAAGCTGCCTGGGCTTTGACCAATATCGCGTCCGGTTCTGCTCAACAAACCCAAGTTGTTATTGAGGCCGGTGCTGTTCCGATTTTCGTTGAACTTTTGAGCAGCCATGAGCCAGATGTTAGAGAGCAAGCAGTCTGGGCCCTCGGAAATATTGCTGGTGACAGCCCCACCTGTCGCGACTATGTTCTCAGCTCCGGTGCTCTTCGGCCTCTATTGGCCCTATTGGGCGATAGCCGTAAGCTTAGCATGCTTCGCAATGCCACCTGGACCTTGAGTAATTTCTGCCGTGGCAAGACTCCTCAACCTGACTGGAATACGGTAAGTCCATCCAAAGCCTCACCGAACCACCCTCCTTGCAAGGTTTCGTCTTTTGGATGGCCCCAGTTTCTGACATCTAGTCGTAGATCCTTCCCGCCCTACCTGTCCTTGCTAAGCTTGTGTACTCTCTTGATGACGAGGTTTTGATTGATGCTTGCTGGGCTATCTCCTACCTCTCAGACGGAGCAAACGACAAAATCCAGGCGGTCATTGAAGCGGGCATTCCTCGCCGCCTTGTCGAACTACTCATGCATGCATCCACTTCGGTGCAGACCCCAGCTCTCCGATCCGTTGGCAATATCGTCACCGGCGACGATATCCAGACCCAGGTTATTATTAACTGTGGTGCCCTTCCCGCACTCCTTTCCCTTTTGGGATCTACCAAGGATGGCATTCGCAAGGAAGCCTGTTGGACCATTTCCAACATCACAGCAGGAAATTCAAGTCAGATTCAAGCTGTGATCGATGCGAACATCATCCCTCCCCTGATTAACCTCCTTTCTAGTGGTGACTTCAAGACTCGGAAGGAGGCTTGTTGGGCCATCTCAAATGCTACTTCAGGCGGCCTCCAGAAGCCTGAGCAAATCCGCTATCTTGTCCAACAGGGCTGCATTAAGCCGTTATGCGACCTTCTTATCTGCCCAGATAATAAGATCATCCAAGTCGCGCTCGACGGTCTCGAAAACATCCTCAAAGTGGGAGAGATGGACAAGGAACATAGTGAAGCTAATGGCGGGGATAGTATCAATCGCTATGCTCTCTTTATCGAAGAAGCTAATGGAATGGAAAAGATACATGAAAGCCAGAATAATGCCAATGAGGAGATTTACATGAAGGCCTACAACATTATCGAGAAGTACTTTTCGGACGAGGACGAGGCTGGTGGAGATATCAGTGAGGTCGCGCCTCAAGGGCATGCTGATGGAACGTTCTCCTTCGGGACCCACGCTCAGCCAACAGGTTTCAGCTTTGCCAACGGCGGTGAATCGATGGACATGTAAGATCGGGTCGCCGCGGTCCATATTGACAAACATAGCATTACGATATGTCCAAGGCTTCTGGGGAGATGGATTCGATTCGTTGGCAGTTGGTTCACGGTTCCGGTGTGATGCTAGACTTAGGGACGGAGGTAAGGGAAGTGGAGTTGGGGTCAAAAGTTGGCAAATCTGGTCACTTTCAACTGGCGGAACATCTGGTGGACTACTCTGCAGCTAGTGGCGGATATTTGTTAGCTCGCAGACTTCCTTGGTTTCCGCAGGGTTTCTTCAGCCTCCCCTTTCACCTCGCGATTGCATCCGTATGTTGTTCTAATCCACGTTGGCCCGATATCGGGCGCATACTCTTTCTCCGTCTGCTCTAAGCTTCACCTCTACTTTTTTTACTTCCATCCTCCAAAAGTACATTCGACAATGCGCGCCTGTCATTGCCCCCTTCTGTACGTCCCAACCCTCCAGTTGATCAAGATTCACCGTCATGTAATCACTCCCAAAACCCCTCATTCCCGAAATACCCCATTGGCTTTTATGCCGCCATTCACGTCGTTATGTCCGGCATTTGTTCCCTCCAACAGGCCAGGTTCTCAGTTTCCTGGACCTGTAATTCGGGGATCTGAGAAAAATGATTGTCTGTTTTTGCTCTTTAATAGAGGCGCTCAATATCCCCAAAATGATGCCCCGTCATGTAACCCGTCCCCCAAACGCATGAGAAATGAATCAAAAGAATAATTCGATAAGACCTTCGATCGGGATTCGTCGTGACAGTATGTTTTAATATAAAAATAGATGGTGTGTCTAGAAGAAAAGATCGTTATAACGTTCTTAGTCCAGAACTGGAATTTGGGGGTTTTATCCCTGATTCGGTGTCGATTCTCGCTTAGTCCCACAAAGGCTCCAATAAGCCACGGATAAAATATCATACCGTCGCGGTGCCAGAGTGGTTAATGGGTAAGACTCGAATTCATTGAATTTCGGCCATCTTATGGCTTCGGCCGCGCAAGTTCGAATCTTGTCCGCGACGTATATAATTTTTTTTTTCCCCTCCCTTTTCTTTTCCCCCCTACGCGTGATTAATTCATTTGTATTAAATCTTTTGTTTTGTCGATCTTTTTTTTTTTTCCTTTTAATTAGAGGAGAGTGGTTGGGGGATGATGATTGGTATGGGGTCGCTAAATATATGGAACCTTTTTTTTTTCCCTACGTGTTGGCGATGGTGTTCTGAAGGGAGAAGGTGAATTTTTTTCCGATTCGCGGAATAAAAGCTTGAGGGAGAACGGGAGAGTTATTATGTGCGTACGTACTACTTGGGTTGGTTAAGCAAGGCAGGTAAGTAGCGGGTTTTATGAGATCCTCATTCTTCTGAGAAAAAAAAAAATGGGTACTAACCACCGAACGAAGTTGAAAACACATCATCGTCATCATCCTCATCCAACAACTACCACAGCCGCAACCATAACGCACACCATGTCCACTCCCCAACAGCACCCTCCCTCCTCCACCCGATCCCAATCCCTCCAAAAAACCCTACCATACGCCCTCCTCCTCGCCTGCCCGCTCCTGATCGCCCTCCCGCCTCGAAAACTCGACTGGCATACCTTCGGCCTCGCGGGGGTGTTTCTGTTCTCCGGCGGGCAGGTTTTGAGGGACAGAGGGTGGGTTAGGGTGGCTGGGCGGAGGGAGGACGGGGTTGGTGAGGAGATTAGGGAGAGGGTGGGGAAGGTGTTGGGGGGGAAGGAGGAAGAGGGGGAGGGGCGGGGGTCGTCGTGATGCGTTTTGTTATATTGCGGTTTTGGATTGGGTTTGGTGGGTAGAAGAGAGAGTGTGCGGGAGGATGCGGAGGGTAGGGTGTCTATCTATTATCTCTATCCTCATCCGCAACACGGTGATCATTGTACCATTACCACAGCAGCTATACCAACCCGCCACCACGCTCAAAAGCCAATTAAACCTCGTAAAACCTAATACATATATATATATCCTAAATGGTATTCGTGATGAAAAGGGCTCCGAAAATGGAGGTGTTTCCACCGTGTCGTTCTGCTATAAGCGACTTACAACTTACCTTAAGTACCGCTCAACGCCTCACAAGTACAAAACTGAAGGGAGCGTGAATCAGCACCCCTCTCCATTCTAAATATGTATATATTCCATCTTCTCATCTACTATGGGTACTCTCCAGGCAAGACCAAGCCTTGTATCATCTTCTTGAAATTTTCAACCTAGTTGCAACTACATATTCTCATTTCGATATTACTGTCATAAAGAAAAAAAAAAAATGATGAGTCTATTGATATATAAGAACTCTTGATGTTAAGACTGCATGAAGGTACTTTAATATTGAAGACTTTAAAGAGCCCACCAATAGTAGCATAACGTTATACTTCGTGTAGCTTTCGTTGCGCCGCCGAACCGCCGAGATGCATAGAATCACCACACTGTTTGACATACTCACAAAACGCCTACGAGTCTTACAATTTTTTTTGAAAAAAAGAGAAAATGTGGCATTTGTGGCTAGGCCTAGTCATTTTCGAAGCTATATGCAGGACATCCTCAATCAACCACCTCTGCCAGCGCTCCCGCAGGTAACAATCTGATGCATAGAAAATTAACACTAATAAGCTATCAGTTTCGCCCCAACTAGCTGCGAAATTCGACCTTCGAGATTATAGACTTGGATTTTCAGCCTTGAGAAGTACCGACCTGACTTCATGGAAAGCTTGACTTTTCTTTCCTCTATGAGCATCAAGCATACGTTCGAGAGGGGTTTGGCGACGGTTGTCTATCTCCCTAGGATTTGCGTGGGCATTCAGGAGTATCCGGACGACGTCGAGATGTTTACCGTTGGCTGCGTAATGTAGTGGTGTCAGTCCCCTTCGGCCACGTTCGTTCACTTGCAGCCCCTTCTTAATTAAGATCTTAACCATCCCCGCCTGGCCACGTTGAGCAGCGTAGTGTAATCCAGTTTGCTCTGCATTATCCCTCACATCTACTTTGATGCCCTTTTCCAAAAGAAGTTCAAGAAGGCCTTCAGAACCACTTCCTGATGCTCGATGTAGAACATGTTGCTTCCACTTGGTCGTTTGATGTATGTCAGCACCGTCCTCGATGAGTGCAATTGCTAGCCACTCCAATCCCATGTAAGCTGCTATCTGCAGTGGTGGCATGTCACTTGGAAATACGTGACCTGTCGTCCGTGAAAACACTTGAAATGCAAACTCTATATTTTGGGCTGAGGTTGCTAATTTTCGGAAAGAATTTAAAATCTTGGAATTTTTGGCACCGGCCTCCCGAGCATGGTCGGGCCACCTCTGTGCAGCGTATTCCAAGAAGGGATATCTCTTGAATATCACCCTCGGATGATCGCTAAAAACCTTGATCTCGGCAAGGTAATCTAGACAGACAGAACCAATCTCAGCGTGCTCCTCTTCGGAAGATTTGCATGTTTTGGTCAGTTCTTGACTAGCCGGGTTTTCGGTGCCGAGCAAAGCGCCCTTTGGTGAATCGTGGAAAAATCGGGCCTTAACTTCTAACGTAGATCGATCGATGGTGACAAGAGTACCAAAATTGCGGTTTAAATCTCCTTCTATACCGCCTGAACGCCAGTCTTCCAAGCTTTTCGCATGACCTTCACGATCATAATCTTGCATGGCTAGCGCATCCCGTAGTCCCTCGACCTTCAGCAGCCGACGTGCGTACAGAATCCATGGAAGTTTCTGAGTAATCGCTTTCCTATGATCCTCTAGTTGTCGTCTGAATAATGCTTCGTAAATCGAAATCAAACCCTCAGGCAGACTCTCCAGCTCATTCAGGATGTGTCCGGCAGAAGAGGATGACAAAGTCCTTAGGCGGTTTGTAACAAGTAAAACCCAAAGAAACATGGAGCCGGCTTTATCCCTCAAGCACTGGCGGACATCCTCTCGAACGTGTGGTTCAAATTTGCGAGTAGCAAAGAACTTCTCCACCTGATCATCGATCAGAATTTCGACGTTCTTTCTAACCTCATTCTTAGAATCGACGTCTGCGAGATTATGATTTGGGAAGTGGTCTGAAAAGTCCGGGAAACGTTGGGTTGTGATAAGGAAATATTTCGTAATGTCGGGGTTCGAGGAGAGCTTCCGCATGAGGTCCTTCCGGGTAGCCTGCCCGCATTCATTAAGAGCATCGATGAGAATAATAGTTCGCTTGGATCGGTCACCAGACATCATTTTCTCAAAAACCTCCCATAAGAGGTCAAGGGTCCACTCGTGTCTTCCTGCTAGTCTCTCGAGATAATAGCTTTTAATATGGCGATATAACTTATGATCCTTGGCTAATAGTTGGTGGACCAGCGTCCGAATAGCAGGTGCGGCCTGCGACTCTACATCGTTGTGCTCTCTGGATGTGAAATAGGCTACCTCAATAGGCTTATTCACTAGATATTATGAACCGCGAGAGAACCGACTTTCTTGTACCCGGTCCACTGGAGATGACCAGAGCCTTGGGTGAGATGGGCGGGCCAAAACAAAATCTATTAACATCTTCTCTTATCTAGTCGCATGTATTGCCCACAGGCTTCGAGATCATGTGGAGCATAGCACGACAATCAACCGGGCGAAGGCTTTCAAGGCACGTGAGGATATCGTCTTGTTCTGTAATGTCATCGATCATTTGCTTGATTTTATCCACAACGGTTCGACAGTTGGAATCCTCGGATACAAATTTATTCAGACCCGAGTGGTCAGTGTTGAGTGCGATGCGTTTACGTCCAGACATCGTTGCAGAACGTTCATCTACAACTAGCTAAACATAGCGATGTTAGAGTAGAAGGGCAAAGGAGCTCTACTTCAGTGCTTACAGTCGGTGGAATTCCGCACATATAGGTTTTCTTAGTCTCATAGATGCAAGTGATCCGATTTTCTTTCGGGTAAATATTGGCAAAGTCTCTATCCAATATGCGAAGCCGAGTTGACTGATAGCCCATAGCACCCATAATACTTGAAGATGAGCTCATCCAATAAGTGAAGCTAATAACAGCTTTTCCGATGATTGAAGGCCACGAGCCGTCGTGCGGTGTTCCTAAAAACGGAATGCCGCAGGTCGATCGAAGTAAAGTATAGTTTGGGGAGCGGTCCCCCTCCTTTGCCACTAAGACCAAAGCCTATAGAACTATTCGTAAACATATCTTCAGAGAGAGGGAGAGAGTATGGTTGTTGCCTAACCTGTTTAACTACAATTCCCCCGAAGCTATGTCCTATAAGAAGAATCGGTCGCTTTTTCTCCCGTTGTGGCGGGGTGAGCCTACGACTAAGTCATATCTATATCTTAGTAACAAATACCTGGTCAGTTTTCCTCACTCGGTTCAACTCGTCCAAGAGCTGCTGGCCGCATTCTTAGATAGTTCTATTAGGCGCGTTGACCAAATAAGATGAATCCTGTCGGAATGGCATGATACGAGTGTTTGGGATGGATCTTGGAAGTATTTCTTGCAGCCACGCTACATATTTCTTCCCTGTAGCCTGCGAGGGGACTTTCGCCCTCCACGTCCACTCAGGATGGGCACCGAGCCCATTCACAGCAACGATACTGAAAATAAAGTCAGTAGATGTGCAAAATCTAGTTTCCCAAGTAATGCAATTATTCATACTCTATATCAATCTCGTCCTCTCACCCAGACGGCTTATACATATTCGCCAGATCTGTGCCTTTATCAATAGACTGTTGGTCTGCCTTTTGTAGAAATGGCGTAAGTGGGAGTCTTTGGATTGGTGACAGCAAGACCGCGATCACAATCAATAGTAGGGTCGAAATCGCAAAAAAGGAAAAGGCGATAATCCATAAGGTAGAGATGTCTGTATTTGCCAGATATCTCGCCAGCCATATGGAGGTTATATAGAGAACTACCCAGAACCGGAGGATGGCATTGTATGTCAAGCTAAGGACCAACACCGGGACCCCAAAGGTAAGAACGTTAAAAATGAATCATCCCTCATAGCGATGTGTTGAAGTATCATGCTTGTCCGCGATTCTTGGTTCCTGTGACAG